CCGGCTTCGGCTGAGATCAGTCTGTGAATATCTAATGACCTATTAAAGAACTACTCATGCAATAGGCTGCCACAGAGGTCCTACGAATGCTCACAACCCTCAAGATTCCTAACAAACTCTTCTAAGACTTTCCAGCACAGTCTTACTCCCTGCTGAGCTCTTCCAGGCCTCAGGCGCCCATCCTGCTAACTCACCCCAGCTCCGACTAGCATCGTCCCAACAGCAAACCTTGGCTGTCCCTTGGGATGCCCACCCCAAAGCATCCCCAAATCTATCTATCGGGCCTCACGCTCCTGCATCAGCAGGTTACAGGGCAACACCCTAGCACCGACCCGTGTCGTTCTGGCATCGAACAACCATAAATCTCTGAGTATAACCGCTTCAAAACCGCCTAGGATGGGTTGGTAAGAGTCCCTGCAGTCCTAAGACATTCATAAGAACCACCGACAAATCAGATAGGTGAAACCCATTCAATCCATCTACGACCACCCTCAGCATGGTTGTTTCCGCTCAATGTATTTCCTATAAGTTAACCCTAGCTACCAATTTTTACTGCTAAAAGCCTAAAACCGTGCTAATAGATTCGAGCATGGCGAAATGAATCTGATTGAGCTACTGTTCTAGAGGCATGCTTCCAGTTAAAGCATCCATTAAATTGATCAAAGTGTTTGTACCATGTCACTTTATTATGTGGTTATTTACAATTCGGTACATTGTCTTAATCCCTTTGTTTTTGTCTTTACTTTTTAAGCCCAATTTCTAATTCATCAACAAATTCATCTCCATACAGATCGAACCGATCTCTTGTTGCATCACTCATGTTTCGACATCGCCCTTCATGGAGGGTACAAGTAATCTGGTTTGATCACCTGTATAAATATAAAATTTAATAACTCTCATATGCATGCATCTAAACCCTCGTCCAGTCAGCCATGATACATATCCAGGAACATCTAAATCCTCCTCCAATCGGCCATGCTACACGTCAAGGAACTTCATTTTATCACAAAAATGGTATTCACCTGGTTCACCAACCTTGTAATGGAGGTCCCTCCTGTGTTTGTCTCACTTTCAGATTCCGGAATCGGATCTAAACCGTTGGGGCTGATCAACGGTCCAGACCCGAAGGCACCAGTAGTACTGAGGCCGTTCCAGCACTATATCAGCTGGGTACCAGCCTCAGTGGTTAGGTTAGTCTGCAGGTTAACGCAGTGTTTCGGTGTTAGCATGAGCAGAGCAGTGAACACGAGTAGCGCAGCAGCGATTTAACGCAGCAGTGGCGTAGCGCCGGCCCTCTGGCCCAACCCGCGGCCCAACGCCCATCCCTAGAGCACCATAGCTGCATCGCCAGGTACCAGGTTTCCTCGCTCTTCATGCTCCAGGTTTCCTCGCTCTTCATGCTCCTCCACTCTCTCTCTCTCTCTCTCTCTCTCTCTCCTCCTACCCTCTAAGTCTAAGTCGACTCTTGGGTTACTCCTACTGGACGACTACGAGTATGAAGGATGGTTACGAGTTCTAATGATATTGGAGATAGCATTATTGAGACTGCAGGTTGAGGACTATTTTTGGGATCTGATTTCATCTACCTCTGGAGATGTATGTTGACATTGTGAGATCGATATCTGAGACACTGTGAGACTCTGTATTCGTGACATTTCGGATTTTCGCTACGTCTGACATTTCGAGATTCTATTTTTGGAAACATTGAGTTGACGTCATTTTCCCTCTCCTCCTCCCTTCGTCTCTCCTCCCCTCCATTCATCTGTGTATGAGAGTAGGCCCTGGCCTTTTCTTCCATATCCAAGGCCAGGGTTTTCAAACCACCGATGCATGTTTGTGAGAGATTGATTGCAGTCCGAGCCAGGTTTGAGTCAGTCCATGTGTATCAAGTCTTCCGCTGTAATTGTACTTACTCTGTATTATCGCGTCGGTTCTGGGAATCTGCGCCATACTTATGACTGTGTTTCACGAGTATGCAACAGTTTGGTATCGGAGCAGACCATCATTGGATGACTCATCATCAATCGATCGATTGATGGATCAAGCTGCTCAACTAGGGTTTGATCAACCAATCGACCGATTGATTGATTGATTGATTGATTGATTGATCGATTGATTGATTATTTACACCTGTACTCTGTTATCATTATTCGCACGTTGCAATTTTTTTTCTTTTTTCTTCTTACATAGTTAATTAGGTCAGTTGAAATCTATTTTAGGTTTGGCGGCTCTCTCCAAAATGCGAGCACTTACGAAATCGCGCAATCGCGATCAACCTAATTAGCGCTAATTAGGGTTACTGCTAACCTAATCCAAAGATCTAACGACCTATCGGGTTACGAGAAGTAAGCGCCAGCCAGGCACCGCACCCAATTAAGGCAGATCGGGCCTGAGCACGGCCACATTCAACTGCAACTTCACGGAACTTTGACTTTTTGCTAATTGCATCTTTTTGGCGATTGAAGTTTGAATCTTTACAACAAATTGTGTACCTTCCTACTACCATTGATCTTCTACTTACCTCATGACCTCATAATGATGCTGAATTCTCCCGATTAAATTTCATGAAATTATTTAATGAAATGTTTAACCTCATTTAAACTTTATTCAATTTGATGTTGCAAACTTCAAACATTCTTTAATTAATTGTTTAATGTTTGCCAAATTACAAAATTTATTTAATGAAGTTTTATTTTTATTAAATATTTAATTAAAATTTTTAAAACTCATTTTTCAGGGGGGGGGGGTGGAGATTTTCTTTTTTTCTTTTGATTAAGTGTCAGGTCCGGGGTCAGGGCAGAAGAGACTGTCTGTGCATTTGCTTGCCTCCCTCCCTTCTTCCCACCCCTGCCTTCTCTTCCCTCCTCTTGGTAAAGTGGACTTCAGCCTCCGGCCACGTCAGCATTGTGCAGTAGTGACATGTTAGCTGCAACACGGAGCCAGGACTGCTAGATGCGCCGCAGTTAACGACTTGCTGAGCGTGGATCCAAGGGAACTCAGCCCCAACAGGGTCCCAAATCACCTCGGATCCCGTGGAAAAGACGCACGACCATGGCTGGGGCCACTGACGCCAATACGCAAGACAGCCCCAAGAGGTCGGTTACTCCACCCATGCCAGTTCAGCAGGCAGACGATACGTAACTAGCGTTTCTCAAATGTCTCCAGCTGTACACCGACACTGCTGCAGCTGAACTTCGCAAATGGGAACAGGAGGACGCCGCCTGCCGGCAGGTGGCTCAACGCCAGCTGGCAGAGGCCGAGGCAACGTGGCAGCAGGCCGCAACAGAAGCTGCAGCAGCCGCATGATTACAGCAACAGAGGATGGAGGCAAGTCAGAATCAAGTTTGTTACCAGGCCACAATGAAGCTCGCCAACGACGAATCTACGTACCGCAGATTACTTCGACATCAGCACTTTCAAGCAACCGAAGAACAAGAGGATCCGACCGAGGAAGAGAAAAGCAAGGAGACCATAGTCGTACTGATGGAAAACCTGCTGTACATGTGCAATTGGCAGCAACGAACTGATGGTCATGAGGCAGATCTTCATCCGCTATGAAAGAACTTTTCGGACGCTGGATCAGACGATCGTTGACTTGCAGGCCGAGAACAGTACACTGCAGGCCGCCGACAGTCACCAGTAGACCATCAGCGATCAACTGCAGACCAAGGTCAGCATGGGGTTGGCGTGCTTATCTGTAGTTGAGTCGACGGGCAGTGCAGTTTCAGACTGCAGCCCAGCTTTGGCCGCTCAAGCCAAGCAACTCGAAGAACGAATCAACCACGTAGCCGCATCCCTTGGCGACATCAGCAAGTTTGTCGGGTTGTCTACCGTCAGCAATCAGCTACAGACGCTCAGCGACCGCGTTCAACAACGAACGACCGCCGTCGTCAAGGAATGGAAAATGTCGAACTTCAAGATAGAGAAGTTCGACGACTACCATAAGACCGATCCGCTGCAATGGTGGATGGCATTCAACGTGGAGGCAGACGTACATCACGTCCCACCACTGCGGCGGCTTGACGCGCTCTACCTCCAGCTCATCGGAGGGGCACAAACATTCATGACTCACATGGCCGTCACGTTGGAATGCACCATCACCACCCTCCACACCAAGATATCTTGGGAGGACTTCGAGAAGAAGTGGAAGACCCAGTTCATGGTCAACAACGACAAACGTCACGCACTGAACAAGATCTTCCGCATGTTTCAAGGCCAGCAACCATCATGGGAATGGTTGAGGGAGTGGCAAAGGCTTGTTGCCACCTCTGAGTTGAACCTGCCTTTCGACTCAATCCGGGCCGAGTTCTTCACCCTGTCTTGCGACGCCTTGACAATTGCTTTTGGCAGCGAATTTCAGTATGAGACCTTTGAAGAGATGATCTCAAAGGCAAGGGAACTCATACAAGGTAACCGGCGAGCGGCTAATGAGGCCTGCCAAAAGCCCGGTTACGTGGAGAAAGGCAAAGGTCAGCGGCGCAGCCGCTTCAACATCAAGTGACGGAGATGTGGCGGTAGCGATACCACCGCAACGCTCAAGACCCCGTGGGGGGAAACATAAGGCGAAAACAACATCGGCGGATGGAGCGAGACAGTCACCATGGACCAAGTTCGGAATCACCGAAGACATGTTCAAGTTACGGCAGAAATGGGGATGTTGTTTATGGTGCAACAACACCAAACACATCACTAGTACGTGCCTCAACAAGGACAAAGAAAATGTCGAGCGTTCAGGCTCAGGAAATTGACCACCGCGGGAAGTGCAACGACATCCTAGTCCGCCGGACTCGACTGCCTTGCTAGCAGTCTCTCTCACGTTTGCGGACACCACTGTAGTCGCAAGTTCTCGGATTGACGTTGAGAATTATGTTGTCCAACTGGTCCCTCCGTTGAACCAGTCCATCCACATGCAAGATTCGAGCGCATGCGCTATGTAACATCTGTCGGACAACGAACCGGTTGCTTCGCCACCCCTTCTATCGGAGGATCTGTCAACTTGGGCGAGTCTTGAGGAACTCGACCCGTTGACGGTTGAGGACTTGCCTCTTCCCTCCATTGGTTCTTTGCCAACACCCCATTGCAACGCCCTGATGGCACATTTGCGTGAATACTTGCACGCTGCAGTACCACCCTCGTCGACGGATGGCGGAGTAGCGGTTGTTGACCTTCACAGTTATCTCGCGAAGATCGCCCACGAACACGCAACGCAACGGAACGTCGACAGCGACGTGCCACTCCTCTACATCCACGTTCAGATCGGAAAGGCAACCTGCAGTGCCTTGACCGATTGTGGAGCGACTTACAACTACATCAGCCAAGACTTCATGGCACGCGCCGGGCTTGGCCCGCGCGTTCGAAGGAAAAGTCAGCCTACGCACGTTACGTTGGTCGATGGTCACATACAAAAGTCGATAGACCGCTGCGTTGACTCCGTGCCCGTGTACTCTGCCCCGCTAGCATGAGAGGTCGTGTCTTTCGACATCTTGGACACTAAGTTCGATATGATCTTAGGCATTTCGTTGTTGCAAAGCGAAGACCATCCAGTAAACTTCTTCCGACGTATCGTTCACGTTCGTGATCGGCGTGGCGAACTAGTCTTCTGCACGGTGCCGCTTCCTCGTCCTTCGATTGGTTGTCACGGGGTCTCCGCAGCGAGCATTCACCAATCCATCAGCCGACACGACATCGAGGAGATGGGCATGTGTTTTCTTCACGCCCTCCCGCTCGACGATCAGCCCAAGACGGACGAATCGGAACGCATTGTTGAGCTTTTGGACAACTATGAGGATGTCTTCCAAGCTCCCGCCGGAGTCGTATCGGATCGGCCGATACGCCACGGGATCACTCTCGAGGACGGCGCCATACCTCTGCGTTGATGCATTTACCGCATGAGCGAAGAGGAGCTTCAAGTGCTTCGGGCACAACTAGACGACATCTTGGCCAAGGGTTGGATTCACGCTAGTTGTTCGCCATACGGTGCTCCCGTTCTCTTCGTCTGGAAGAAGAACAAGGACCTGCGTTTGTGTATCAACTATCGGAAACTTAACGCGCAAACGATCAAGAACGCCGGCCTTCTCCCGCGGATCGATGATCTCCTCGAGCGACTATGCGGCGCCAAGTACTTCTCAAAGCTTGACCTCGAATCCGGCTATCACCAGATTGAGATCCAGCCAAGAGATTTGTACAAGACCTCGTTCAAGACGGGGTATGGGCACTTCGAGTGGATCGTCATGCCTTCCGATCTCACCAATGCCCCGGCTACTTTCCAAGCGGCTATGACGACGGAATTCCGCGACCTGCTCGACCGCACCCTACTCATTTACCTTGATGATATCTTGGTTTATAGTCGGTCGCTGGACGAGCACCTCGAGCACCTTCGCGTCGTTTTGGAGCGGCTCCGTATCGCCAAGTACAAGGCAAACCGCAACAAGTGCGAGTTTGCCCACCATAAGGTGGAGTACTTGGGCCATTACGTTACGCCGCAAGGCATTCGTCCACTCCTGGACAAAGTACAAGCCATTCAAGATTGGCCAGACCTCGCGTGTACTACCGACGTCCGCTCCTTTCTCGGCTTAGCATTATACTACATGCGCTTCGTCAAGAGCTTCCATCGGATCGCTGCACCATTGTCACGACTTTAGTCCCCCTTGGTGCCCTTCGAGATCAATGGCGAAGCCTGGCACGAGTTTCATACGCTGAAGACGACCTTGCTTCAAGCTCCTATCTTGAGCATCTATGACCCGACCTTGCCGACCAAAGTAACTACGGATGTTTCCGGCTACGGCATTGGCGCGGTTCTGGAACAACATGACAACACAGACTCGCACCCGGTTGAGTCCTTCAACCAAAATGTGTCGCCCATCAATTCCCTTGATGACGCGAGGAAGAAGGAACTGCTAGCTTTCGTCACGGTACTTAAGCGTTGGCGTCACTTTCTCCTCGGGCGTCAGCGATTCACGTGGGCAACGGACAGCAATCCGTTGCCTTATTACAAGACGCAAGACACGGTGAGCAGCACGATCGGTCGGTGGATGTATTTCATCGACCAGCTCGACTTCACCTCCAAGCATATTCCCGGCCCCTCGAACAAGGCAGCGGATGCTCTCTCACGAAGACCCGATCTTTGCGCCTTGATGCATTCCACATTCGGCCTCAATGATGATCTGCAACAGCATTTCGTAAACGGCTACAATTCGGACCCGGGATTCTCCACACTCTACGCGGACTTATCATCGGATCACTCGCCGGCAAGCAATTATCGCATATTGTCGACAACTACTTGCTTCCCCATACGCGAGGCAAGGATTTGTTCCGCGTTCCCCAAGACCGCATCTTGCGCACTCGCCTCCTTGGCAAATACCACGATTTGCGGTTGGCGGGACACCTTGGCATCGCACACACACTGGCACCACTCCGGCAGCGATTTTACTGACCGGACATCATTAGCGACGTCAACCAGTACATTCAGTCATGTGCAGTTTGCCACTGGAACAAAGAGCGTCATCAGCTCCCGTACGGCAAACTGAAATCATTGCCGACTCCTCGAGAACTAGGTCTCTCCATTGCCATGGATGTGACCATTCCTTTCCCTCGCGATCGCCTTGGCCATGATGGTATTCTCTCGATCGTCGACCGTACTTGCTGAGCAAGTACGCTCGATTTCTTCCATGCAAGTATTCATGCGACGGCTCGTGAGCTCGCACGACTTTTGCGGACCGGCTGGTTTTGCAGCTACGGCATTCCAGAAGACATCATCAACGACTGCGACACTCGTTTCATGTTGGCCTTTTGAACGACACTCATGGTGGAATCCGACACCAGCATGAACCCGAGTTCCGCACCGCATCCTCAAACGGATGGGCAAACGGAACGTGCGCACCAGACTGTGCAGATGATGCTTCGCACACTCATCCGCCCGGATCAAAAGGACAGGGTTGACCGTCTTCCCGACATCGAGTTTGCCTACAACACTTCGATGCACCGACGATCGGCGTGATTCCATTCGAGTTGCATCACGGTGGACGAAAAGGCTGTATCTTCGTACACATTTTGCTTCCTCAGGCTGCCGATATCGACGCCGCTTGCTCCCCTGCTTCTACACGGAAGTATAGGGATCTGTTGGCCAAAGCCCACGCAAATATGCAAAAGGCTCAGGTCAGTATGCAGCACCGCAGCAGCAGCAAGCGAACCAGCATCGCATCCCATGTCCAATCCGTGCTGGCAATCTTGTTTGGGTCACCTCCAAGGAATTCGCGCTTGAGCAGCACGTCTCGTGCAAGCTCCTCCCTAAGTGGTTTGGGCCATGGAAGGTCACTTCAGCAGCTGGCGATGACCCCTCGGGTCCCTCTTTCATAATCGAGATCCCCCTGCATCTGACGGTCCACCCTGTATTTCACACGTCAAAGCTGGCGGTCTACACTCCAGCCTCGCGAACGGAATTCCCAGGCAGACGGTCCCACGACTCTCCTTCGATAGACGATCACCAGGAGGTCGACCGTGTCCTCGCTCATCGCAAGCACGACAACAAGCCGATGAAGTACAAAGTTACATTCAAGCAATGCGATCCCGACGACACACGCCGGATTTCAGGAGCTGACCTGAAGGCGACAACACCCCTCATCTTCTCGCCTTACAAAAAACAGTGACTTGCTAACGAAGCTGCCCAACCCGCCTGCCCCATATGGACATCAGACAGACAGCTTCGGCCTCGCGGTTAGCTCGGTCTTTAAGGGGGGGAGCGTGTGGCATACTGACACCACACGGCCCCAGTTAGGGCCCGGTTCTGTAGTAGGCACGGGTTAGGCCTAGGTACCGGGTCACGACGGTCCCAGCCAGGTCCAGGTAGGCCTAGGAATCATCAGTTCAGATTAGAGTCCCGTAGGCCCAGTTTAGACCCCACCAGACCCAACGGCTAGTTGGGTTAGGCCAGGTACTGGTCCATCGGTAGGACCGGCCGGCGGCGCAGTTTAGGTGCCACTTCACTTTCAGATTCCCGAATCAGATCTGAACCGTTGGGCTGATCAAAGGTCCAAACCCGAAGGCACCAGTAGTATTGAGGACGGCCCAGCACTATATCAGCTGGGTACCAGCCTCAGTGGTTAGGCTAGTCTACAGGTTAGCGCAGTGTTTCGGTGTTAGCATGAGCAGAGCAGCGGAGAGGAGTAGCACAGCAGCGAGGAGAAATAGCGCAGCAGCAGAGTAGCGCCAGCCCTCTGTCCCAGCCCGCGGCCCAGCGCCCAGGCCTGGAGCACCATAGCTGCATTGCCAGGTACCAGGGAAAAGGGCTTCGCCATTCCTCCCTCTTCTTCCTCCTCCTCTCTCTCTCTCTCTCTCTCTCTCTCTCTCTCCCCCCCCCCCCCCAATACCCTCTAAGTCTAAGTCCCCTCTTGGGTTACTCCTACTGGACTACTACGAGTATGAAGGATGGTTACGGGTTCTGATATTGGAGATAGCAACATTGAGACTGCAGGTTGAGGACTACTTTTGGGATCTGATTTCATCTACCTCTGGTGATGTATGTTGACATTGTGAGATCGATATCTGAGACACTGTGAGACTCTGTATTCACGACATTTCGGATTTTTGCTACTTCTGACGTTAAGAGATACTATTTTTGGAAACATTGAGTTGAAGTCATCTTCCCTCTCCTCCTCCCTTCGTCTCTTCTCCCCTCTATTCATCTGTGTACGAGAGTAGGCCCTGGCCTTTTCTTCCATGTCCAAGGCCAGGGTTTTCACACCACCTATGCATGTTTGTGAGAGATTGATTGCAGTCTGAGTCAGGTTTGAGTCAGTCCATGTGTATAAAGTCTTCCGCTACAATTGTACTTACTCTGTATTATCTGGTCGGTTCTGGGAATCTGCGCCATACTTATGACTGTGTTTCACGAGTATGCAACACTGCGGCTCAGAGGTGGGGATGAGATGAAACGACGAAGGAGGGCCACACCAGCCATGGTTTTTGTCAAAAAAAAAAAAAAAAAAAACTTGACCCAAAGGCT